AGCCAGCAGAAACGGGACATTGCTCGCTGAAACAATCGTCGACGTAGACGCTGTCTTCTTGTGCTGCCTATTCGTGTGTACGAGCCTAATCAGTTCCGACCCAGCTAAGCTGCTCAACGTGTCCCGCTTTCCATCGTGCTCTGGTTCCTCCTCCGCCAATGTACTTGAAGAGCTCTGGTCCACGGAGCCACTAAGGCTGATGCCGTCGGGGTCAAGACTTTGTCGCGCACTGAGAAGAACGGTGGAAAAGCGACCTTCGTCATCTGTCACATCCGACGAAGCAATGGATTGACGAGAGTCAAAGGTCGCTTTAGGGCTCTTGGGGGAAAGAAGAGCGTCGAGAGGAGTGGAGGGTTCAGGTTCGGTGGGTGTGATGGTGAGGTTTCCGGGAGTTGGGGTTGTCGCTGCAGCACGTTCATCTTGGTGGGATGCGCTGAATGTTTCTGGGAGCGGTGTTGGTGGCCCGACAGTAACATCGACAGAAAGAGGTTCCTTCGGACCACTGTGACTCCCTGTACCATTCACCGTCGGAGCCCCCGCTTCAGTGTTACCCCCTGTATGCTCTGTGGATAACTCCGTGGCATGGTTTGGCCCGTCAAGATGAGTGTCACTGTTGTTTTGGGTGTCAGAGGCCGGAGTGGAAGATGTAGAGGTCGTAACCATAGCGAGCTAGTAACCGGCGGCGACAACGACAGGAAATGTCTAGAGAGACAAAGAGAAGGAACAAGTGACAACTGTCGATGTCGATGAGGTCGACGGGGTTTACATATGAAGATGGGCGATGTCGGACATCGAGATGGTGTGACTGTGAAGATGTTTGGTCGTTAGAGACTCGGGTTCGGATACTGGCGGAGCGCCACAAAGCACAAAACGGGGATATGCACAAGGCATGCATCTACTGGACGCTTGGACACGAATCAAAACACCTCATCGCCAGCACTGCACTACGCTGTTGATCAAGGTGTTATTCACAGCTAAGGTGTATATTTCGATGTAGAGGAGGACACCAGCGATGATCTTTCAAAGTACGAGCTTGCCGATCTAAATCCCCGGGCAATCATCAGCATATGCAGCAAGTGTCAGGACCAGCTCCCACTCCAAGGCAATACAGCAGACAGCAAGATCACATCCTCCACACGTTGAAACTTGCAGGAGGGAGAAGGGGCAGCAGCCACCCGGCATCCCCGGCATGAGGAGTTCTGTTTGTCTGTGTTTGCCCCTATCGTGGCCATGGCCCTGGGGACGGCGACCGACGCTCTCTCTCACACCGACGCTGACTACACAACCCTCGTCTTCACCGTTTCTCGCCTCGGTGAGCCCCCTCGCTCTGCAACCACTTCTGATGAGCACACTGACACAATCACAGCGACCAGCTATTGCTTCTCTCTCCAATACACACTCTAACAAGTTGGCCAACCATGTCGAATTTTACCATGATAAATCCCATCAAACAGCAATCTAGTATTCGCCCCACGTATGTTTTCTCATGCACATAAACCCCGCGCACCAAAGCTAACTTGTTTTATCAGCAACGGTCGTCAAACCGTTGGAGATGGGGCTTTCTCTTCCGACATGACTCCTAGCGTGCTTGCGGTGTGCCACATGCAGGGCACCGACTCCATGTACTACTACTCTACTACGTTCTCTGGCGGACCAGGGGTGAGCATGTTTTCAATCCTCTCAAATTCTTACATCGGCTTACCACCGATTTCTTCTCAGTGGCGCTTTTGACGCGCCTCCCGCGAAATGCCCTCCTGACAGAGGGTCGTCGAACTGGGTGACAGACAGTTTGGCGCCATCCATATTCCCTTCTTCCTATCCCGCCTCCGACACTTCATCCACGCTATCATCATCCTCATTCGGAAGAGACAACTTCCCAGATTCAATTGTTTACCCTCCTACCCCTCCTCCCGAGATCTGCGTCGACGCCGAACAGCCCTTCCCGATCAGCCTTTCACCTCCAAATACCGTCTCTGCTCCAAGGGCCATCATTCGTAGCAACCATGCAGCAGAGATCCCCACTCCCCCTTTGACTCCTGACGACGGTGCAAGCGAAGGCGAGGGCAGCGTCGCCGCTATCAGTGCTAAGCAGTCCAATGCTGCTCTTGACTTCTTGAGCGCACTCTTCCCTCGTAACGGCCTGGGTGCTTTACAGTTCGCAAAGAGCGTTTCCATTTCTTCCCCGAACCTTGGTGCCATCTTCGAAGGTGTTGTTCTTGAGCTTCCCGGAAAGCCCAAGACGTTCTACGTTGATGGCAAAAGTGCTGCTCATGTCAACCTTCGGGAAAGGTATGTCGTTGTGGCCGTTAATGGTGGACTGGTTTTGCTGATCTAATCGGTACAGCATCGTTGCGCTTCTGGATCTTGCCGATGAGCAAATTGGTTGCTCCGCCCTCGTCCTTGCGTTGGAACGAAAGGACCCTGCGCTTGGGGACCTTCTCCACTCTCTCATGTACGTGGGAGGCTCCGTCGTGACCAAGCCACCATTCCCGGTTGATCCCACATACGTTCTTGTCGGTTTGGAGATCTAGTTGAGCTAGGTGTAGATGGGAGAGATGGAGGTTATTCGATCGAATCTTGACTTTGTTTCCTTTGTTCCGTGATGTCTTAGCCTTTACTTCTTGTGCTTGGGTCCACAGGCCTAGAGGAGGAAACACCTCTTTTGTCTTTGGACATGATCATGTTCTCTACTTACGCCTGTAGTCAGTCCAGTGTCCAAATACCATGCATTTTTTCCCTCGTCCAGTTACCGCACGAAGTCTTCCACTTAATGTGCCAACACTGGACTCATTGAGGCTGCCAAAGAGCAGTGACCAGCACCACGCTGTGTTGTTACGTCCTACTCCGCGTGGTACTCCTTCAGTCCTCTCTGGCCTATATAAGAGTCTCCTTCAAGCCCTCTCTCCTCCATTCAACGCCTTCCTGTTTCCTTACTATCATGGGTTTCTTTGGGTCCCTCTTCAATGGTCTCATAAACATCATCTGCGGTGGGCCCCCCTCCTCTCCCATCCCAACTCCCCATGCTCGACCAGACGAGTACACACCTCCGACGGTCCCGCATAAACCTCCGACTCAAGCTCGACCCCCACAAAGCTATCCTCCGACAAGCGAACGACCACCCCACAGCCCGCCGGCGGGGCGCAAGCCCTTCCAACGCGTCGTACGCCCCTTCCCTGCTTGACCCCTTTTCGTCTATATACTCATTTTTCCGACATCGGACAGGACCAAAACCAAGTCAACCAGAACAACGAGCACTATGTCTCGTTGCGCAAACGCGCTAACGACGCCGGCGACCAGATGGCTCAATGCTTTGAGCGGAGCCATCAGGCGTACGCGAATGGGAACGGTGCACTCGCGAAGGAGTTGTCGAATGAGGGGAAGAGACATCAGCAAGAGATGGATAAGTTGAACAAAGAGGCGAGCGAGTGGATCTTTGTCGGTACGTTGTTTAGCATCCCTCGTTGGGAGGCTGCATACTGACTTACTCATGCGTTTATATTGGAAGAGAACAACAAGGATAGCAACCCGAATGAAGTGGATTTGCACGGTCTCTACGTGAAGGAGGCTATCACGTATACCGACCGAGCTATCCAGGACGCTCGTCAACGTGGAGAGTCTGAGATACATCTCATCGTCGGTGCGTGTATTCTCTTACATGCCGCACGGATGCGTGACTGAACCAAGGTTCTGCATTTAGGGAAGGGTCTGCACTCCCGCGGTGGTGTGGCGAAGCTCAAACCCGCCATCGAAGATCTCATCCAGAAGTCCGTTCTTTTTCTCCACGTCTCACGTCTTCCGTATTCAGAGATCCTGACTGGTTCTCGCTTTGCAGACATAGCCTCGTTGCCCAGCTCGATCCGAACAATACCGGCGTTTTGATTGTGACCCTCGACGGGCCACACAAAGGTGCCGGCAAAGTCATGAACCCAGACGATATTGCCCGCGGCATCGAGAGTCGCGAGGAGGGTTGTACCATTATGTAGCCTGTAACCACCATCGTTGGTCCGTTATTGCTGGTCTGTGCCAGTGAGTGTAATCGCGGCCCTGTCCATTGTTGTTTTCTTGTCACCCTGTCTCTTGCTGTTGCTGATACTATCTTGGTACCCCTGTACTGCTATCGCTTGTTGTATTTCACGTCGTTGTAATATTCATCAAACTTTTTGAACTGATGTGTCCTAACCTAGCTATGAAGCCAGATAGTTCCAGTCCGGTTGAGCAGCCGCAGTGGCGCATTCGACCACCGACCGACCTGAGGTTATTGTGCTCGAACTGCGCTCGACATAGGCGAAGACGGTGAGCATTTCTGCATGTGAGTGTCTCCAATAACGCCTGTGTTTGAACCATACTCAGACGGTCAGTGTGCATCTCAAATTATTCATGACCTATCTCAACACATTCTTACAGAACACCAACTCTCCAGCACATCCGCAGGAACTCAATGTGCTATGGTGGCTGGCTTTATATATTGAGTGGCAAAACTACGGGTTTAGTGAGTATTGGGTTCTCCCAATTATCGACGCCACGCTTCCCCCAGCCTTCGAGCTAATAACTGGCCTGGTACCTCTCTCAACAATCTTGACGTCAGATTACACCCGTTCCATCGTTCCATCCTTCGCCTCCTTCATTCATACCTTGTTCCCCTCATTGCGTCGCTTTTTGCCACGCAGCTCCATTGGTCCCAGGAAGCGTAAACGACACGCAAATGTTCAAATGATGACTCCAGTTAGCATCATGGACTATCAAAAACTCCAGCGCAATGCCTACACCGATGCAAGAGGGCACAGATCTTGACGGCCAATGTATGTACTGTCCCCTCTCCACCGTCAAAAAAACTGGCTCACAGAACTCAAAGGAGTCTTCACCATTTACTCGGAGCAGAAGAGAAAGTAATTCTCTGGCAATGACCTTTAGCGAACTCTATTGGAGCCTTGCGATGTCTCCTTGGCTTCTTTGGGGAGTGACACGTGATCTAGAATCTTCAAATCGAACCTTACATTATTGGCCGACTAGCTCAGTTGGTTAGAGCGTGGTGCTAATATCACGTGTTCACTCACGTAGTCGCGTGACGCCAAGGTCGTCGGTTCGATCCCGGCGTTGGCCAGCTGTTTTCTTATTTTCTTTTGAGGACCTAAATTCAAAGTCAGAGGTATACGGAAATTGGTTGTCGGCATGTAATTGGGATCAGATATGTTACAAGCTCCTGAACAACTTGATTCGCTTGTGAGGCCTGAGAGAAGAATGAAACTGGACGTTCATGGCAACACGGTAATAGATTGTTCGATAACAATACATGAGAGCGACAGAAAGCGTGAGGATACAGAGCAAACGAGCAACATTGAGCAACGACAGACGTCTCTAAGGATAGGGAGGGTACGTGAGGCCAGAATTGGTACGGTCATCTAAATCGTCTATGAGAATAGCATGCAAAGCAAACACAAGAAAAGCGTCCACAGAGAAAGTCCACAATGTATCATAGATAATAGAGTATTTCTCACCGTAAGAGTGTGGTTGTCGGGACGGACGGTGCAGCTATGTCACTTGGCGCAGGAGTAGCAGTCGGAGTTGCACATACCAAGGCCGTAGAATCCGCAGGAGCGTTCCAAGCATCTGGGTATACACACCCCGGGATAGGTGCCGCCACTTTTGCTGCATCCGTTGGATCCGCCCAGCCTCCACCCGTCGTAACACCGGAGAAGGTGGGACCAGACAACGTCGGCGCGGCGCTGATGTCAGTGTACTGCGGTAGGAGAGTTGGGTTGGCGCCGTTGACGTTGGAAATGGCCGGAGGCGGGTATTGGGAGAGCGATGCGATTGCGGTTGGAGCAATGGTCCCTGCTCCTGCTCCTCCGGTTTGCCAGGGTTGGAAAGTGGTGGTAAAGGGAGTATTGAATGTTACTCCGATAGAGTCGCAGAAGCCGATAGCTTCTCGGGGGTCTGTGGGCATCCAACCTGCAATACACGTAGCAAAACACTTGATGAGTATCTGATAACTCACACCTGATAGTTTACTAACCATTCTCGAGGCCAAGTTGATATGACCACATAGGAGACTGTACCTTTCCGGTAGCGGAGGAAGCACCAATCTTGAATACATGCATCAATTACACGCGAACGCTGAGCGCGGATCCAGAAACACACCTTCCACGTCCAGAAGAAATAGCCCGGGAAATGCATGGCGTCCATCTCAGCCATTACGAATTTCTTGATCCCGTCCTTCATGTCCTGGGTCCAGTTCATCCAGTCATCCCATTGAGTGCAGTCACCGAAACTAGGATCATTGCCTACTCCTTTGACCCATAGACCGCACTACAAGCGAGTTGAGAAATGTTGATCGGTCTGTGAGGAGAGGAGACTGGCTTACGTCGTTGATCGCTGCGCTAAACTCTCCGGTGATCGTAAGGCCAAAGTCGAAGAGTGATTGGTTGACTTGGAAGCCTTGGCACGCTGCTGTCGGCCAATGGTCCAAAGGGGCGTCAAGACCGCCGCCGAATGCCTTTATCGAGGACGGTTTAGAGGAGCTGTACCAAGATCAAAACGTGGGGGTGACTCACAACATATGGATGGGTGTCCAACACAATACGCTGCAACATGTTGAGCACGTATACAGCCAGCCAATTGTGAAGCACTCACATCGGAGCCAGGTAAAAAGTCCTTCCATCCGCCCAAACCTTGGAAGCCATCATGAACCACCATGTATGCGCCTTTTCCAATTCCAGTCTGTCAACAGGGCGGCCATCAGTCACATTGAGGCCCTAGAAGTGCATCTTCACTCACAATTTCCCTTAACATATCATGGTTTTGGAGGTAGCTGTGAGAGAAATATCAATTAGCTACCGCGAAACACGAAAGAAACGCTGCACAGTGGGAACGTACAATCGGTCGAGCGGGTCGCGGCCAATGATACCCATGAGTGGCTCATTCAAGACGCCAAACATCTGGATGACATCTTGATACTCATTCTGACTTATGAACTCTGCCAGAACACGAATATAACCCATGGTACGGTCCGCGTTGGCGATGCCCATTGGTCCGTTGAGGAAGTTGATGGGACCAAGTCGACCACTATGGTTCAAGCCTAGGTTCCACTTGACAATGAGCACCAATGGCTCCCAGGAACGTATAGGACTTACCGTTTTGACTCCCTGGAGCAGTATGTAGCTCAATATACATTCGCAGTCCATACTTACGGGACCACTGAATAGCGTTTAGGATATATTTCCAGGCAACCTTCGGCAAAAATGGCTCTCCAGGCCAAACGTCAATAGCCCAGTAAGGAACGGGGAGTCTGACCCAGTTCAGACCGGCACCTGCAATTTGAGCAAAGTCTTGTTCGGTCTGCGTGATATGGTCAGAGAACGTTTGCCTCACGGAAGGTGCTGTGGACTCACGATGAACGTCTTGTAATGGTCCTCCAACTGGCTCAAACCTCCACCAGGGCTCGTATCGTTGGTCATGGCAACGCTCAGAGACCACTCATCTCTGACCAGACCTCCGGGTAGTGCTTCGCTTGGCGTAACGTTTTGGTATTTCTCGAAGAGGGCAGGCGTGATGAACGGTTCCATGACAAACCAACCGCCGAGATTTACACCGCGAATTTGGTCTTTCATGAAGTCCCAAGTCTCGTTCAGTGCCGGTGTATACGACTGGGCTCTTGCACCGCTGTTGAAGGGATCTCTTGGATCGTCGACCCCTGCCATGTCTGTTAGAAAAGCAATATTGAGAGACAAATCATCCTTACAATAGCCCCCGAAACTGTTATTGTATCTGAAAGTCACACCGTCTGCAGTGAGTACTGTAGATCCATCGCCACCAGTTGTTGCACCAGTGGGCGAATGAGGATTGGCAGTAGGAGCTTTTGAGCTTGAAGTGCCCGAGCCGCGGTTCTTATGTATGAGAACAACTGGAAGCACAATGGCGAGGACGATGATGACAACGGCCGCGAGTACGCCAAATATTATCCATTTGCGCCGTGAATGACGAGAAGGAGGTTTTTCTGAAGTAACTGGGAGTGGGACGGCCGAGTCCTCTGCAGGAAGGAATGGGTGGGACGGAAGGGGACTCGGAGAGTGATCATGGGCGCCAACGCCACCGGTCCCAGCCGCGCCGTAGCCGTATGCTCCTTGCTCGCCGTACACACCAGTCTCAGGCGTGCCAGGGACAGAGGCTCGTGGATCCTGGAAGGGGTCGGCGGGGGAGTAATGGGTCGCCATCGCTGGAAGGCCGATGTTGGCCAATCGTCGGTATCTCGTGCAAGGACTGGGGGAGAAAAGAAAACTTATCGACTTCCTGGAACAAGTTCCTTTTCAACGTTTCACGGGCCCACGCATCACTCGCCCATCTCTATCTATCTGTGACAAGAACTCAAGGACTGCGTGGATGGCCTCGGCATTAGAGCCCAATCTCTCCACCGGCGACGGCCAATTGATACCGCGACTTCTCGGTTTCAAAGACTCAGACGACCAGACACTTATCTTTAGACACCCTTAGGTCACGTTCAGCTATCCTCTGCGTTCTCTGGTGCGCTCACGCTCAAGTATCCGAGTGAACAGCGTGGAACCGTAGGTTTTCATCAGCTTCGTTTTGGAGCCTCTCCACCCACCTCTCTCATGCTCGCTCTGTACCTGACGTCAATAACGGCTTGAACGCATACCTCTACTACCTATGCAGAGCTTCACTTTCCTTGCGATCTCGGCGCGCTTCATCGTTTGACGGTAAGATGATGGCTGCGTCAGGCACACCGCCACCCAGTAGCTTGAAGCAGCTTTGAATCTCATGGTGAATTCCAGCATTCTCGACCCCGTAAACATGCCCTCACTGTCCTTACCTTCCAGGGAATGTAGACTTCGCAGTTTTAGCAGAATTGATCAAAGTCCTTTCCATGTTCGCGGAACTATTCCTCTCCAATCCCGCGATCATTTTTCAATATTCCATGGTCGATCAACCCTAACGTTATGTCCCAACCACACAAAACCTTTGGGGACAGGAGGAAGGAAATTCCCCTTACCTCTCAAGGTTTCCCTTTCACCGTAAACCATGCCATCGTCTCTTTCTGTCGTCCTCATCCTCCTGGTTGCCGGTCTGGGAAGCTTCTACCAGCTTGTGGTCGGCCCCGTCATTCATGCGGGCGGTGTCTTTCGCAAAGTCTATCCCTTAAACAACCAAAACTGTCGGACTGTCCCAGAGCTCGACGGATGTGAAAGTGCGTTACTGTTTCCACGCCCTCACTGCCCAACTATCTTGTGCTCATCCTTTGCGTCATAATCTTTCCAGAGATAGTCCACGTCCCAGAAAGTGGTTTACTGTATTTAGCATGCTCTCGCATCTCTCAACGGCCGTATTGGCTGCCTGCGATCACCCATCTCAATGCGAGTGGAATACCTCTGGATGACCATGTCGCCACCTACGACATCACCACGGGCAAGGTCACACGACTTCAAGTGGAGGACTATCCGAACGCTTCGCGGGGACTATACGTCCACGGTATGGACGTCGTTCCTGCGGCATCAGATCCCTCTTTGCTGTATGTTTATATGGTGAACCACAGAGTACCCCTTGAAGGAGATCCAGCGGTTGTTGGCGCGGACTCGTCTATTGAAATCTTCTCTACGAAGACGGGGTCATCCAAGTTGAAGCATGTCGCAACCATTGACGATCCCGTTATCGTCACTCCTAACGACGTAGTGGGTTATCCCGACGGCAAGAGCTTCTACTTCACAAACGATCATGCGGTCAAGACTGGTTTCGTGAGTATTGCATACTTGTGATAGAGATATACAAGAAGATCGGAGCTCACCCATATACTCTAGTACAGACAGCTTGAATTGATTTTCAACCTGACATCTACAAGTGTTGGCTATTGTCACACTCATGACGGTTGTAAAATCGCCGCAGATAACCTCCAAGGAGCGAACGGTATAGCAAAAAGCCCGACCAACGACACGATCTACGTCGGAAGTGCTCACGGTGCGGGGATATACGTGATGGATCCGCAGACGGATCACACGCTCATTTTGAGTGATCGAATCTCTGCCGGTGAGAGGCTGAGAGCTTCTGTCATCCGACATTTCATTCATTTTGGCGATATTAAAAGTTCTTCCATCT